TGACTCTGTGGCTTGTCAAAAGGGCTAAGTGACAGAGGGCCAAGTTTGTGCTCCGGGGGGAGCCTGGGGTACCCTCAGCTCCCTCCCTGGCCCTGGGACAGCCGCTTCCAAGACAGCAATGCGCAGTGCTCCCCGTCAATCCCCCCGGCATCGCCCCAGAGGGCAGTTCTGGCAGGCCTTGCATGGGAGCATGAGGCTGACGAGAGTGGGGCCAAAGGCCTGTCCAGCTTACGGTGTCCCTCCTCACGGAATGACATTTCAAGAAAAAGAAGAACAGGGCAATCACATAATGTCACTTTCCCTTAATACTCCCCCAACCTCTGATGATTTTAAGCTAAGGGGGTTTCCTGAGTCTGTTGTTGTTTGCCTATTTAGTAGCCTACAGTGGATTCCCCAATTGTACTATAAGTTATGAGAAGAGATACTAACTTTTCCTAGTTTTGAGCTTGGGTCTCATTAGCTTATGTATTGGGTTTACGTGGCAGGGGGGCTATAGGAATGGCCTCTGTGAGAAGCTGCTAGAAGCTTCCTCCATGTCTGATAGAGCCAATGTCAGCTGGCTCCAAGACAGACCCACTGCTGGCCGGTGCCGAGCCCATCAGCCACAGTGGTAGCACCTCTGAAATAACATATTTAAGGAGGGGAAAAAGCCTGCACAACACCATCAGCAGTCAGAAGAGAGAAGTGAGAATATGTGAGAGAAACAACTCTGCAGATGCCAAGGTCAGTGAGGAAGGAGGGGGAGAAGCTGCTCCAGGTGCCAGAGCAGAGATTCCCCTGCAGCCCATGGTGGAGACCATGGTGAGGCAGGCTGTCCCCCTGCAACCCATGGAGGTTAACGGTTGAGCAGATACCCACCTGCAGCCCATGGAGGATTGTGTCAAAGCAGGTGGGTACCCCAAAGGAGGCTGTGACCCTGTGTGTAGCCTGCGCTGGAGCAGGCTCCTGGCAGGACCTGTGGAGAGAGGAGCCCACGCTGGAGCAGGGGAAGAGTATGAGGAGTTTTAAGGTTTAGTTTTTATTTCTCATTATCTTACTCTGTTTTGATTGGTAACAAATTAAACTAATTTCTCCAAGGTGAGCCTATTTTTACCCATGATGGCAGTTGGATGATCTCTGTCTATCCTTGTCTCGACCCATGAGACTTTCATTATATTTTTCTCTCCCCTGTCTGGCTGAGGAGGGGAATGATAGAACTCCTTTGGTGGGGCACCTGGTGTTCAGCCAGGATCAACCCACCATAGCTTAATGTTTTTCCCCAGTTCTTGCTTGGGCAAATACAGTGAAACTCATCCCTATCAGCTTCTGAACTCCATTGAGGATTTTGTAGACCTCTTTCCTACCTACCTTACATTGTCTCTTTTCTGAGCTGAAGAGTCCTAAGCTATTTAACTCACAAGGTTTTAGGTTCATACCTTAGATCATCCCACACGTGCATCTCTTGACCTTTTCCACTTCTTGTAGATCCTGTCTGTGATGAAGAGACTAGAAGTGCAGAAAGTAAACAAGGTGTGGGTGAACCATGGATTTCTACAATACCAAGCTGATGCACAGAATAATGTATTATGATTCATTGTGGTCACCACTGAGCAACATTGTTTTGTACACAAAGCTATGACTGGATTTCCCCATGGGCGTTACTTCACACTTGCCAACACTGAATTTCACCCTCAAACATTTGTGCTATCTTGCACACCTTTGGGTATGTAAGCATCTCCTTGGAGAAACACCACTCAATGTAGACCTGATGTTATTTTAAACACTCTGAAATGGAAAAAATTAGAAAAAATGATTGAATGACTTCAGGATGAGCTCTGGCCCTCTCATGTATCAGTATAGATGTAGCCAAACAGATTGTGAACTCAAAATGGAACGTTTATCGAGGTGCCACCAGACCTGACTGTCTCTGCCCAGTCCTTCAGGGCTCCCCCCATCCTGCCCAGGACCCCAGGTCCACCCCCCAGGGCCATGAGCCCTTGCCCCAGTGATGTCCCAGCAGAGCCGGTCTCCGGCTCCTCACAGCCCTGCTCTCCCCTGCCATGGAACCTCTGAACCAGGCCCACCTGTGGACCCACATCCGGCTTTGGCCTTTCCCCAGGGAGATGCCCAATGCCCAGAGCTGGGGCTGCTCCGGTGCCCCCAGCTGCTCTGTGCCTGGCTGGGGGTGGGATGGGCCCTGGCTGCCAGATGCCTTCAGAAATGCATTAAAATTTAAAAATATATCTATTTGGTACACTTATTGGGCAAGAAGAAGGATCCCAAAGTGGCCAACATCTCATTCAGGTATTGCTACTTTTAAAATTTGTGTGAAGGGGGTATGTCAGAGCCAGTTTCTGAGATACACATACAAAAAGAAAAAATATGAACAGGTATGCAAAAAAAAAAAAATCAGTCTTCAAAATGCTTGGAAAAAACAAGAGACTTAAAACGATACAGGAATCTAAAAAAGGCTCAATAGCAATGGGAAACGGATTCATTTTATTTCATAAGTTGGTTTCCCTGCCCTCCTTTAAGCTTGAAAGTTTCTCACACATGACAGATGCAAACAAAGGAAAGAATCTTAAATCATGTCTTTTTTTTATAGTGGGCTTTTTTATTGTTATATATACAAAAAATCCAAGCACATCCATAGATTAAATTGCTGAACAATAGTTAAAACAAAAAAAAACACAAAAAAAAAATAATCCCAGAATGAAACAGAAGTCTATACATTCACGTCTTCTCAGTAAAATTAAGTTAGCCACAGAGGCTAAGTAAGCATGTCAACCAGGACCCATATTCCCCAAACCAAAGGCGATATAGACATGTGCTTCTCGATAATGTCTCAAATGGCATTCTAGATATATATGTGTATATAGTTTTTACATATATGTATGTATAGCAACTCACACCCACTGACCAAGGAGGGTAGAAGTCTTGCTACCTTACAGTGCCCCAGAAGGACGTGTTTCCAGTGTCAAAGAACAGTATGTTGGGTCACTTTAATGATTTCTCTTCTTCCTCTCTAAAAAATGCCTCCAAAACTTCACAGTATACGTTGTTGGACTCAAAACATTTCATTCACAAGCTTCTTTTCTGTATTTCTTTCTCAAGGAACAATCCCGCTGGGATTCCCAAACAGGAATTTTGCCTAATCTGAGCTAACTAGAGATTACTTAATAAAATGTCACGAAGAGGTACCTGAAGGACACATCCTTCCTATTCCTTTTTAAACAATGTCAGAAGAGGAATGAAGGGCTATGAAGAGCTGCATGAGGCTGGAGAGAACATTTTCAGTCAGTTGTGTGAGCATCTTTTCCCTCTTGCAAAAAAAGCATTTCAGTATTTTTCAAAATACAGCAGTTGATGTCCAAAGTGCAAAGTTTCTGCCCTTTTGGCTCTATTTGGTGTCAGTTACAGTTCAGTCACATTGCAGTGCTTGAGGATAAGTTTTGAGATAAAACAGAGTGAAAATCTGCGTTAGAGCTAGGAGATGTAATGGTCTGCATTGTAAAAATACTGGGATGTTTAGAAGCAATTCAGTATTTTTCACAATACAGCAGTTCATGTCCAAAGTGCAAAGTTTCTGCCCTTTTGGCTCTATTTGGTGTCAGTTACAGTTCAGTCACATTGCAGTGCTTGAGGATAAGTTTTGAGATAAAACAGAGTGAAAATCTGCGTTAGAGCTAGGAGATGTAATGGTCTGCATTGTAAAAATACTGGGATGTTTAGAAAAAAAAAAAAAGGAAAAAAAAGGAGAGCATTTTCAGTACAGCCTCCAAAAAAGTTTCTGCTACAGTAAAATGTTGTAAACAGTTTTGGTGGTGAGAAAGACAGAATTCTGTGACAGTGGATAGTGAAGGGACTTGAACAGCAAGGTGAAACCATGCACTGCTAAATTAATACACAGATTTGCAAAACATAAGTTAACTGAGTTTGTGCCTGACGGATGTGGGACGGCTTAGGAAGAGCCATCCTTCTTTCTTTGGAGATCCTGGTGCAAGCAGGCACTTTGGAGCATGTGCTAGAGCTGACACAGGAGCTCAGAGCCTCAGACTCACACGGGAACATATTTGGTGGGCTCCTCTCTATCAGAACACGCGAGAGGATTTCAAGTAGCAAGCCCACCTCACGGCACATAGCACCCAGCACATAGGCTGGTAGTGCAGGGTAGCTTCCAGGCAATTTGATGGGAAGGTTTGGACAGTTCACGTATCAACTAAGGTTGACCTTGTGGGCAGAAAATGTGCAGCTCAATTAAAACTAACACTGTGAAATGCCACAAAACACCTCAGATGGCTTTTGAAAGGTTTTACTAGGTTCAGTCGCGTTTGTCCAATAGCTGACAACGCTTTAGCAGAAGATAGGACATACAAATGCCACAGTTGATGTTGTGGTTATCCAGGTTCTATCAGAAAGAAATTTGTGGTGGTTAGTGGTGGAAAAAAGGCAGACTTTAAGAGCCTTGGGTGTTGTCTTTTACTTAGGCACAGGAGCTCAAAAGTAAAGATAGCATTGTGGTGTCTGAACCAGCTATCCACGATGTTGAAGACAGCCTCCTACTCAGTGTAGGATGGAGTCACGGCGCAGCAAAAGGATACCATATAGCTTTGTCTTGCTTGTGAGGGGAAACTTGTCTGGCTCTGTCAGATGTTTTTTGGCTCTTCACTGTCAATGAGGGCCAAAAGTAGGTAAAAAGCTGTCAACACTACAGGAAAAACTTTGCTTTTGTCTTTTCCCACTACATATTCTGTAGCAGTCGTCTTTCCAAGCACACAGGCAGTTGTTGAGATGTGAGAAGAATTAAAACATGGCACATTATACGCAACACACTGGAGAATGGTACTTCAGAGAGCAGTCCCAAACACAGGACTGCACAATCAACATGCTGTAACCTATTTCCAGGGCATTTGGTACATCTTCCATTATCAAGCCTTGCTTTCGTATTTTTTCTTCTTTTTTTTTGTTTGCCCACTTGAAAGAAGTGTGTTTCTGACATCTGGCCATAGGGACAGGTGTGGAATCACTCCAGTCTGTGGCTGAATTCTCATATATCCATCTGAAAATCTGGTTAATAATCTACACCATTGCCATAAGGAAGATAAACCCACTGTCTGTGCACTATTAAAACTAAATGCCCTTCTGAGACGGATGGTGCTTCTGTGTATAGCCTATAGTCAATTGATGAAAATGTCTTGCTGAGACCAATCACATACAAGCAGCAGCATTATGACTGTAGAAGGCTGACATTAGAAAATCTCTTTTCTTAAATCACCCAGTCTCCACTGTCCTGAGAAATGAATAACTTCAAGAAATGAAAATACAATCCACTCAGCAGCTGAAGTAGTCTCAAACATTGTAAGTTCTAGCTTCTCTTTTATTGCATGAGATATTTTGCTATATAAAATTGAAATAAATAATATGAGTCAACCTAACCTTTTCAAAGGTTAGTGTGGTTTGGTTCTGATAAACACTTGGGTGAGTGTTGTGGTGAATTCACAGTGGCTATGCATTATGCATTAATGGTAAAATGGCAAGCTATATTTATTGATTCTTTTATAGAAATACAAGAGAGAAAGAAATACATTAAAACAAAACAAAACAAAACAAAACAAAAATGAACAAACAAAAACGCAAACAAAAATGCAGCACATTGCTTAGAAAAATAACTCCCCTACCCCAAGTCCAGCTTCAGTGTATGTTCTAGTCCATATACAGTAATATTTCACAGTCACTGAGAATCACAAACTTTTGGTTGAACAACTGAGATCATACAACCTGAAAGTAATTTTTGTTTGAAACTTATCCCTTGGTTTCATACAGTAGGACTAATTCCAGGCCAACCTCTGACTATCAATACCGGGTTTGCTTCAGTGCCTTCTTGAAAAAATTCAATTCCTTTAACGCTTCCATTTCTTACCAGAAGATACTGAAGTAGGATGCGCAATGTAAGTATGGCTTGAGCTCTGTCACTGGAGCATGGTATTTTGAGGGCAGCCACTCAAAAAGAAATGTTTTCTGTGTCTACTCATGGATCTCAAAGGTGCCTTACTTCTGGGGATGTTGAAGGCTAAAAAACACTTTCCTGCCTTTGTAAATAGACCTTTACTCCATCTAACCCATCCATAGGTCCACTTGACATTGACCTGGCTGACATGGTCCTGCCAGAGAACAAACTTTCCCTTCTGGTTTCCAAACTGTCACTGAGCAGTACGTTCGGGCGAAACACTTGCATGAATTTCTGGTAAAATTCTTTGGATGCAAAATAGTAAATGAAGGGATCTATGCAGTTGTTGAGGCAACTGAGGCACAAGGAGAGCTTGTAGGCAGGGTACAAACTCTTGCCATAAAATAGACGGATGATCATATGCGCAAGTAGGATAAAGTTATTTGGAGCGAAGCAAGTGATGAATACCAGAAGGACTATCAGTGCTAGGTATATGGATCTTGTCTTCTGCTTGTTACCATATCTGCTTGATGTCTGAATAAGCTTCCGAATGGTGCCAATGTAGCATCCAACTGTTATGACAAAAGGGATCAGGAAGAGCATGAAAAACAGTGTGAGGAGAAAGGCTACCCAGGCTGCGAAGCTGGGCAGCATATCCCATTTGAGGACGTCAAAACAGGTTACGATCCCCAGTTCTTCCACTTCATAAGTCAAATCTGTGCTTTCTAGTGGGTAGAAGGCTAGGAGCAAGAAAATCCACATACCTAGGCATGCAGCCAGAGCATATCTTTTTCTTCTCCACTTGATCAACTTCATGGGATATACCACACCCATGTACCGCTCGATGCTGATACAGGTCATGGTCAGTATGGAAGAATACATATTGGAGTAGAACATCACAGTCACGAGGCTGCAAAGAGTCTTGCCAAAGGTCCAGTGATTCTTTTGGACGTGATAAAAAATCTGGAAGGGAAAGCAGCAGGCCAGCATGAGATCTGTGACGCTCAGGTTGATCATGAAGATAACGGAAGGCGTTTTGGGTTTGATGTGCCAGCAGAGCACCCAAAGGGAGAACAAATTGCCAGGGATACTGATGATAGCCACCAGTGAATACACAACTGGGAGGGTGATGGAGATAGCTTTATTCTGGAGCATTGCCAGCGTTTCAGCATCCAGGGTTACGTTTTTAGCCATTATTCACAAGGGGGTTGTTGATCCCTATATGCCAGCTGGATCATGAATACTTGGCTTAAAAACCTAGAGGACAAAGTCAAGAGAGAAAATAAAGATGTCAAAACAGAAATTAGGAACATACTTCTTCTATTAATCAGACTAAGAATAAGACCAACGTAGTTTGACAGATTATCTCTGAATGAATGGAATCCATTAAAATTAGCTCCTGAAAACTCTCTCCTCCCTCCAAATGATGGTAATGTTTTACCAGTCTCACTTCTTCCTAGCTTTGAACTGCTACTTTTTCCTTGCTGAATGGCTTTCTGATACTTTTCGCTGTCTATATGTTACCACACCTCTTTTGTTATTGTAACATAAAGAAAATAACATATCACAAATAGAAATTAAATTGATGGCTGCATTAGAATACTATACCATAGGATCTCCGTGAGCTAAACACATCCTATCTATTCTAGATATCATGACCTTGCTTCTTGTAATGTACAATATTTTCTGACTATTTTTTCCCTCTCAACTAAACAGTGATTCATTCCAAGTAAGTGCTGGATAGTTTTTTGTTTTTTCAACTGGGGAAAGGAGAACATGCAATCAATTGTGCCTGGCATATTCATGATATAAAAAGAATATAAGGAAAACACCATGTGTAATCGAGAACCAGGACCAGCTTGCAGTTGCTTGCACTGGTTTACAGCCTGAAGGGACCAGCCAAAAGAAGTAACAAGCCCTCTTCTAACAAAAAGAAAAGCTGTTGAGTTTCAATTTCTGCAAGATGTAAGTTGTTAAAAACTGTTCTGTTTGCAGCTGCCTAACTGGCATCACCTGTAATTCTGCAAAATTAGTTTCAGTTTTGCAGTCTGCAAAACCATGCTTTCACTGTCTGGCCTGTATAGATCTTTCTTAGCAGATGCAATAGTTTATGGTTTACTTTATTTATTTTACGCAGTGTAGCAGCATTTAGCAGCTGCAAGCAAGAACTCATGCCTCAGTGTGCTACAGGCACGCGTGTTAACTTTCATTAAGCTGCCAGTACAAGGATGCAAACTTAACAAAAGAACAGGGTCGAAAAAGTGAAGAAATGGCAATGAATGACTGGAAAGACAGAGGAGAGAGCATCAGTAAGTTCTGTGAAGAGTGGCAACAGGGGCCTGAAAGGGCTGCCAGGCCAAGCCATCTGGTAACTTTGGGCACATCAGTGCTGTCTAATAGAAAAGGTGCAGAGAGTGGGTTCAAGCACACACTCCTACTTGTGGGCTCTGATCACCTGCACTGTTTAACCCAAGCATCTCTTTTCAAGACACACTTGTGGTAGGTGGTTAGATTTAAAAAAGCGTAGGTACCAGTCAGTTGCTGTCACTTAACCTCAGATCTAGTTAAATAAGACCTTTAATTATGTGCCCATAGCTCATGAGCAATGTAACAGTTCAGTTCTTAGACACGTCAGCTCTCAGTGCTAGCTAACTCTAGCTGGAAATAGCCATTCTGATAAAAACGGTCATTTCTGAGAGAAGCTCTTACTGAATAACTTGATCTGATCAATTTGATGTAGTGCTTCAAATGTCCACTAAAAATATCCAGAAGCAGCGAGAGTCAATATCAAACAAGTGATGTTAACTAATGTTGCCAGTCTTTCAGGAGCTTCTAGCTGAGCTGTTGGAAGCCCAGAAAAAGGCAGAAGAAAATAGGACTTGCAAAGAAGTCAGAGATGTGTTCCTAATATATCACGCACACGACACAGAGCAAACGTGTTCCAAGCAATGAGCACATCACATGATGACAACTGCAAAAATCCCATTGAGCCAAATCCTTTGTGGACGAAATTCTGTTCTTGTCAGTGGAGATATATCAAGAACGAAACTAACTCTACAGTTTTCAGAGGAACTTGAAAAAGCACTCACTGACACAACGCTCTCAGAAAAAAACCTCAATGCTATCTATTTCAACTCTTCTATCTATGTCTTACTGTATTAAATACCTTTTTGTGAACTGTTGCCTCAAAAATCCTTCCCAAGTGGCACCCCTTTGTGCTTAACCACCCTAAACTTCCCAAAACAAATAGAAAATGTTTATCTATATTGCAGTATTTACAGACTTCTAATAAAAAGCCTTTGCAAGTGAAGGATATTTTCTCTCAGAGGCTAAGGGACCTCACCCCTAGATACTATTCCTATAAAAATTGTATGTATTTGGGAGGTAGAAGTATAAGTGAAAATTTCCATTAAATCTGTCTCACTGGTCATAAAGCTATTGAATACCTCTTACATTTGGTTTTGTGTAAGGGCTAATCACTAATCCCTCGGGCTAATTCTAAACTTGCTTTTTCTGAGAGTACATCCCGAAAATAAGGTGATAATAAAAATGCACACATAGATGCTGCAGTACACAAAACAGTGTCAGGTTTCATGGCCTGACTATGGGCAAATTTTGTGCACTTGTGGAACATTACCTTCAGTAAAACACAAGTGCCTCCCAAATGTAGGCACCTCATGAATAGGGTTTGAAAGGCACAAGGCTTTGTGGTTGGGTGCCTACGAGAGCTCTCCAAAAAGGGTAGGTGAAGGTGTGCATCACAAGGAGCAAAAGAAGAACAGCACAATGGTTCCCTAGTATCTTCTGCAGGGGAGTAGGGGCCATGCAAATCACACAAGACTGTTGCAAGTCATTCTCAAGGGCAAATATCCTCTTGGGGGAATTTGGAGTACAGAAAATCTTCCCTGCAATTTTGCCTTCTGTTCTGCCAAATCCTTCTGGGGCTCTAATCCTGAATTCCTTGTTCAGGAAAACCTGGGCCAGCAGAAATTCCTGCTCTGAGTCACCCTTACTTGTGATGCATTGCTTTTTAGACGTGCAGGTTAAGCTGCTGGAAGTACAATGTAGAATTTCAACATACTTTACCTCTCGCATTGTTGCATCTACTTGGGTTTAGATAATGCTGTATTTGTATTTTCATCTTGTTCAGGGTAACATTATGTGCTTCCCCCACTGCAACCACAGCCTCTGTCTGTCTCTTGTGGTCTAACTTGAAAATATCATAAACCAAGCGAGAAAGTAGTCTTTATGAGGATTAGAATTAGATTCCCCTTACATTTTATGAGTTGCTTCCTTTCAGGTTTCCAACACAATTCAAATCAGTAGAGCTTGCATGGATTCTCTGCAAGAGAAACTTTACTACAGGATAATTTTAAAGCATCAACCCTCAGGTAAGGTTTTGTATGCATAATCTGTAAAAATATAGTTCTGTTACATAAATATGCCTGTCAGAAAGCTTTTATTTTGGGGCCAGCTATTATTTAAACTACAATAGACAGATGCACACACAGATAGGCAGAAACAAAAACTCAATAAGGATTCTTTAAGTGAGAAGATCCAGCCTTATTGTCATTTACATAAGTCCTCAAGCATCTGATCACAGAAAGAGAAAAGTTAAGCTTTTCTGCTTGCCTCATTTCTGAAATATTTAGTGGATGGATGTATTTTAGTTTTGCATTAGGTACTAACAGCACCTGCAGCCTCTGGACTAACCCTCACTAAATCCAAGTAGGATTTTTTTGCTTCTCTTCATACTCCCTGGCTCAGGGGCCTCTGCACACAAAGCTCACTTGGAAATTCAGTGATGCCAGGTTTTCATCCAAGCTGTAACCATAAGCAAAGGTGACAGCTGCTTAGTGTCTTTTTGACAGGAATGGTGATTCCTTTCCCTTCAATTGACAAAAGATGACAAATAAACATTAAAGGATATACTGAAAATCAAACAGTAAAAGATCGGAAAAGGACTGTGTTATTTCTTGGCAATGGAAGAGTAACAACAGAGATGTCTCTACTTTCTTTTTAGGGGATTACTAAATAAAGCTGATGTGTTTCCCCTCTAACATTTATTCTCTTCCTGTTATTGGTGTCAAGTGCACCTGTGAAAAAGACTGAGAAGCCTGTGAGCCAAATGAAGACCAGAATGACCATTTTATAAAAAGTTTTGTGATTCGACATGGAAAAATAAATCTCAAAACATATCAGGCAGCAGAAAGCCTTCCAAAACATATTCTGTTTCATATTTTTTGGTTTACTACCTGTCAAAGCACTATTCAAAGTCTTAACTTCATAAATTCTTTGATATTGTTACACTTTTGGAGAGACACCCTTCCAGTTGAAGAATGTAGGATGGCATATTCCGGATTACAGGAAAACTAAACTGAATTGCAATTTCAACTCAATTGCAGACAAATTCAGAATGAAGCAAAATGAAAGCACAGGTTTTATTGTAAGCACTGAGAGAAGTCATATTAACAATTTTTAATCAATGTAAGTATGGCTGAATGATATTTTTTTCTCAAAAGAGTACATTTTAAAAAAATAATTTAAAAATTATTTTTTACTTGCTCAATTTAATACTATTGCAAAGCAGTAACAAGAGCCAAAGGATTAGGATAGTTTATGTTTACATAAATGTAGCTAAAGTTACTGAAAACTTAAGGATCCTCAGGGGACAGTGTTCCTGCTGGAGACTGTCTGAATTGCTAGTGAGATGAAAGATTGTTAGACAAGCACAGAAAACAGACATTTAGTTTCTATTGTAGGCTGAGTATGAGGCAAAGAAGGAGCCAGGAAGGCAAGGAGCCAGGAGCCGGTTATCTTCAGTTGAGCGAAAAGTGAAAAACACTTTGATATTTAGATAGAGTAAGAGGTTTTAGCAGAGGAACAAGAATTAAAAATAGTCTTTTGTAACACATCTCCATTTTTTTTGCTAAAACATCATTGATGTGATTCAGAGAAGCACTTCTGCAAATGCTCGGGTTCACCAAACTGAGGAATGTAAATGAGTGCCTTTCTGATTGCGTGTTCCTAAAACTGATCATGGGCTTTACCGAAAGAGGCTGCAGGTTTTGTCTGGATGGTTCTTTCTCACCCTTGCAATAAACTTTCATGCAAATTTTAGCTTGCAGGGTTACATCTCTACATCTCTAAAAGCCAAGGGTTTGGTTCACTTAGTCAAGATCTGAACGTAAGTCTTCTAAGAAACTTCTTTGTATGGCCTTCCCAGTTCTTTTTGCTGATTCTTTTTTTTTTTTTTT